GCGCCCCTCTAGGCCGCTGCTTCGTCACGTCCAGCCGGCGCTGCCAGTGGTCTTGATGTCGCCACCAACCCCTGCAAAAAACAAATGAAGAGGGATGTATTGAGTCTCAGCTCGAAAATGGCAAGAGTAACCACCCACAAACCAAACATGGAAGAGCCAGCAGTTGCTGGCGTGTCTTCGCGTCGACAAAAGGCGGCACACACGACAGCGACACACACCGGTCCCGCCCGGTGTCAAACCGAACCCCGGAAACCACACCCATATGCGCCCAAGCGTACCTGCAGCCCATGCTCTTCGCCATGCCGGACTCATTCCACACGAGCACGTCCTGCAGCGCCCCCTCCCCCCGGGGACCATTCTGCTCGGTTACCCGCGCGGCTGCTACTCCGGCCCCGCCGCCCCCGCCTCCCCCATCCGCACCGCCCGCGGTGTAGCTCTTCCTGCCGCTGCGAGGGGTGGTCTTGGCCGACTTCTTCCCAGGCGAGGTGAACGACGCCGGGCCAGCAGCAGCAGCAGCACCCGCTCCGCCGCCATTGGGCAGCGCCGCCGTCTCGGCAGGAGCGTGAGGACGCCCCTCCTCGGCGCCCGGCTGATCGGACCCACCTTTCCCTCTGGCGTCGCCCGCTGGTGTTGCCTCAGACGCGCCTCCTCCGCCTGACGCTGGTACTCCTCCACTCGCCCCGGCCGCCGTCGCTCCGCTCCCTCCTCCCGCCGGCACCGCCCCTTCCGGTACCGCCGAAGGCTTGCTCGCCGATCCGTTAGCAGAGGCAGTGTGTGCCGCCGCCACGGGCGTGTCTGATTGCGTCGTGCCGGACGGCACGGCGGCGGCGGCGGGGGGCTGCGGGCGGCGGAAGTGCACGAGGTACTCCTTGAAAATGCGCTCCTCGGTGAGGAGGGACCCCGTAACCTTGGCGCAGTGCATCACCAGCTGAGGGAACCGCTCCTCCACGTATCTACAGCGAGAGAGAAAAACGAAAGAGTCGAGCGGGGGTAGAGATAAACGCGCACAGAGCAAATTCATTTAGAGCCAATGCACTAGCAGCTGAGGGGCAGGCGTTTCCCCACGTATCCAAAACGAGAAAGATGCCAAAAGAGTCGAACTGGGGGGGTATGGACAAAGCGCGCAAAGAATATCAGTGTAAGCAATAGAACCAGGCCGACAGGACGGGTGCTTGTCGCAAAACAAAACCGGCATGGTGCACAAGCAACAACGGATCGTGCTGACAAACAGTACGTTTTAATTTGAGGTACTGATTCGTCCATGATGTTGGGGAGACATGCCGATAGTACCTGTAGATTGTCGATTTGAGCAAACTATATTCAGCTGTTCCGAGGGTTTGTAAGGAACGGACAGGTCGTCGGTTCTCGAGACACGGCGTTGCCGGAAAACCCTCATGCCTACTCACACCCAACGGGGTGTTCCACAAACCAAACAATGCTCCGCGGGGCGCAAACCGTGTAGCAAGCCGGCATTCACGGACACGGTTTGTTAGATATTGACCGAAGCTGGATCATGCCTGGCTGACTTCATGGTGGAGAGAGGAAAATAAATGTCGGCGTATTGATCTCTGGGCGTCATTTCTCAGAATTTACCGCGGTGTACGGCAGCCCGGAGCAGCTGAATATATGTAGTTTGCTCGCATTGACGACCTACAGGTACTATCGGCATGTGTCTCCAACGCCGTCCGTCAATCACGGGCCCCCTTCCAACAACGCGACACCCGCCGTTCCGTGTCATCTCAACAAGTTCCTACGCGGTCGCCAAGAATACAACGCCCTGATCGCACCCCTGTCTGCGTGGGGCATCAAACCAAAACGTGCAGAGCAAACACAAACGACCTCCGGTGTCTACCATCCGCCATTTCTCGCTCCACCCGTATGGCGCGCTTGGTGATGTGGTAGCCTGGTCCGGTGAGAACCCGGCGTGCTACGTCCTGGCTTTGTAGGGATGCGAGGTCAATGGTCTAACGACTACGGCATGAACTGATATCAGTACCCCCCCCCCCACGGACGCATGGGCCCAGAAAGAAGAAGAGACATTGAAGGCAGACGTTGGGAACGTAGAACTAGAAAAGGAGTTC